CCCTCCGACTTTTGGAGTTTCGGTGATGAAGTTGGAAGCACGGCTGGTTGAATCTCAACAACCACATTTTTTCCTGACTCTGCATTCAAGCATATTTCGGTCACTTCATTCCAGCAGCCATTTTTGTTACAACAATTGGAAGTGTGTCACGTTGGGAACCCAATTTGACTGAGTTTGTACTATTAGAATATTTACAAACTATAATCGTTCCCATCCCTTGCGCTGTCCAAGTGATAATTAACCGTCCATTCAAACGAGCGATGGGGGGGGGGATTTGCAGGAGGAAGTCATATTTCAAGTTGACGAGGGTAACCGTGTTTTGAAAAAAGTTCGAAAGGAGGGTCCTAATTTTAGAAGCTGAAGAGGTCGCCACTTGCGTATGAGTGTGATAGTTTTGACTTTTTCACAATTTTAACGATTCAAAAAATGCATGATATAAGCTGAAGTAGAGCATATAATCACCATTAGCTCCCCGCTTTACGGCAGTTTCGGGGGAATTTGAGGCGCTGAAATGTACCGACCTCACAAGAGGATGTTATTAGAACATCCATGATTTGATGCGGAGGAGTGGGGGGGGGGGGAGTTGTGAAGGAGAGCGCGTCAGTTTTCTAAGGATTCATAGTTAGGATACCGCGCACAGCTCCAAAGTTTTCGTGACAGCTAGTAGGTTGTTGTAACAGCTGTGACGATTGACCGTACCCAATTACAAAACACAACACACTATCGTAATTAACCATTTATTTGCAACTATTTACAAAATGATGATTGGCAATGAGCCAATCAATATACAAAAGGTGCTAGAATCTACTACTGTAGATTCTAGGCTTCAACCAAGCTAGGGAACGGGGACTGTCCGCAATTCACCTGCCATCTTGTACGATTGAACCATCTTCTCGCCGAGGATGTTCAAACGTACACTTCCTTCTGAACACAGAAGGGCGACCATCGCGTGAGCCACGCTTAGGCCAACGTGCATCTGTAGTCGTCTTGTACGAACTACTGCACAACTACTTTCCACACGGGGAAAGACCAACACTTCACCAAGTGAAGAGAACGAAGCTCGCATCGGGCGACGCTTCGGAGTCAGGGGGAGCCCTCTAGCACGTAGAGTTAATCACCTAATCGTCCGCAACGACCTCGGGAAACTCCCCTCTCGTTTTCCGAGAGAGACCGATCTGCTCACATCCCGTGAGCTCGGCAAAACTCCAGACTGACTGATCAGCTCGATCAGAAGACGGATCGACAGTAGATGGGGGCGTGGCTTAGGTTTACGACCATAAGAGAGAATCTCAAGTACCTAAGGTTACACCTAGGGATACTAGTCTGCACCTGCATGCACTTTTACAACCTGCACGCGGCCCCATCTCAATCCGAGATAATTACTCACAAGTTATCTAAACTTGGATGATACAGTAAAACTGACTAAGGTTACCCATATACTACACATATACGTTTGATGATAGGGAGTCGTACTGAGATTTCCCTAGAAGGGAACGAGTTGTAAAAATTCCAAAAAAGTACTAACACAAAGTTTTACCCTGTTGGCCACTCCCTTTACAATTTGAGTTATTATCGATGTGCGGCCTTCTGGCTCTACGGTTCCTCGGATTTTGTGAAAAAAAAATTTGCTGCAGAATTCCTTTTCTCTGCACAGTAGAAGTGAATTCATAGGCTAATTAACCGGGCCGAAGATACCGATGGCCGACGAAGGCTCGATTCGCATTACCGAATTCAAGGAAGAAGCACGGTCGGTAGCTGTTTTGCTGTTCCGTAGAATTCATATGAAACTTGAATTTCCTCATTTTTCGCCAATATCGTCAAAATCTGTACTTTTTTCAGAAAAATGGCGAAATCTTATTCGCTCCGCGTTGAAACATTGGGAAAGCGAGACCTGCCTGAGATGGGAGGAGAACGGTCGCGGTAAAGACCACGTCATATTTTTCCGTGGCAGCGGGTAAGTGTTGCAATATAACTCTTCTCTGCTACATAGTTGAGATACTACTTTCTGTCCACTTTGTTCTGTCTTTCGGGATGCCCGGGATAGAATTATGAATTGTTGAAACCCCACGCTGTTGAGCGCCTAAACCGCCCACTGTACATAGACGATTCTCCGCTTGAAGGCGGTCCTCACGATGAAGAGACAGCTCATTAGATATAATGAAAAGAAGATTTGAGGTGCAGGGATAAAGGAAGAATCATGAGAAGTGGTTTAGAACCTGAGAAATGGCCCTGCTTCTGCCCTTGATTTCCACAACGATGTGACCCTCATCGGTGCTGCCCTCTTCAACGCTAACGCTTTCTCTGGAAATCGACTAGAGGGTCACACACACAGGGTCAAGCGTGCGTTGAGGAATCCTCGACATGTCACAGAGGGGGGGCCGTATTGGCCGCTGGGGAGAGATCGGGCCCGACTGAATAAATCTCGTCGACGAGGAGACAACACATTAAGCAATGCAAATCGATGGCGTTGGCCAGAGATAAAGGTTCCAATAACAATTGATTCCTCAACACAACTTGCGTTGATTTCGAGGGTAAACCGCTTAGCAATCTTAGTGAATATAGCTAGTTATCAATGCACACAACAAGACAAGGAGCCGAACATTACGCAACCAGTTTTACTGAGACCGGTATTTAACCTTTACAAGAAGAATCTCAATCCAAACAGAGATTGTTGAAAGCACAGGCGCATCCAGCAGTGGCGCCCAGTTGGTGCCGCGCCGCTTAACGTACGGACTATACTCCCCGCCCACACACCCGCTGATAACGAATCTTAATTCAGGAAGAATCAAGAGGGTTCTGAAAGAGTTCATGTTAAATTACAGAGAGGAGTACACTATTCAACAAGAAACGCAGCCTTCAGCGTCAAATTCACAAGCATGTAACCTTTAAAGTTGAGACCCGCTAAACAATTTTACACTTTTTGCAGAGAGAAAAGCACGAGGATTTTGAATCTGCTCCTACTTCAGTATGTAATCGCTCCTGCAAGGAGCTATAGTCGTTGGGATAGTGCTAATGTAGCGAAAAAGTACCTTTCGGCGGTACTCGGGCAAAAATCCTCAACGTGGCCATTTTTTAAATAGTGAACGTATTTAGCAGTTTTAGTTGCCTCTAGAAAGAGCAAATCTTCTAGTTTATGATGACGTATTAACTTTCCAGATTGCATGAGTTTGAACGGAGTTATGGCTTTGGAAAGCGTAAAAACTCGCACTCATCACGAATTTTCCTCGTTAATTTTGCAAAAATCCTCAACGTGGCCATTTTTTGAGTACTGGACGTATGAAGCTGCTTTAGCGACCGTTTGATAGAGAAAATCTTCTAGTTTTGTATGACGTATCAACTTTTTGAATTTGACGGAAATGAAGCAAGTTATTGCTCCGGAAAGTGTAAAAACTCGTGCTCGTCTCGAATTTTCCTCGTTATTTGATCTAAATTTGTTATTTCTTATAACTTCCTGTAATTTCAGTACTGATTAGAAAAAGCTCTTCACAAAACTCCCAAATCAGCTTTCAGATTGAAAATTCGTTAACTTTGAAGAAAGTTATAATCATTTGAATATTTGTTCAAATTTCAATAGTAAATAAGCTGCTCCACGGTCAACGCCAAAGTCCAGTCAACACACAGCTGGCGAAGGGCTTTTACAAGGCTTGAGCGAAAGGGGGACGTGTAAATTGAGAACCATAATCTGTGTAGTACTAGAATTTGGTAAGTCTTGTGGAGGAAATAAACAAAGAAGAGGTGTTGTCATAGTACGCCATTTCTAGTGACTAGTTTGACGTTTTTTGCTCCGTTTCTCGTTTGCTCGTTTGACAGGACTCGTCATTAATGATCATTCTTTGACTTTTTCACTTTTATACTTTTAAAAAGTTTTTTTGTGGACGATGGGGTAGCAGGGCTTTTTTATGAGCAGTTTTGGTGGAGAATTAAACAACTTTTTCATAGTTCGGCTTTTAAAGAGGGTTGTTTCATGGACTTCGGCCTTCGGCAGAGGGAGGGGGGGGGGTCGTATTTCCGAATTTTCCTCGACGCCTCGCTTGACCCTGTACACAGCGAGAGAGAAGGACTCGTGCCGACCAACGACGCGCCGATGAACCGACGGGAGGCTGCTAGAGTGTCTAGCTAGATTGTCGAGCGGCACAACTTTCGCTGGCGCGGGCCGTCCCACAGGGTATCAGCCTGCCTTCCCACCGGCGTAAGATTCCCTTTCTTCTACTTTCGAATCGTGGAATTCTCCTTCAAGTCAGCTATGACTACATCGCTCTAGAAGTACATCATCAATGCCAATTTTTTTGCTCTCTAGAATGGCTTAGAAGCGAAATGCCTCGGTGTACTTCACTCCAATAAACCATGCGGAGAGGCACTAACGTGACCCTGGCATGCACGAAGTTGGCAGTAAAGCATATCTTGAAGAACAGACCTGGAAAATGGGTGAACGGCTGGGTGATGGTTCACCCATTTTCCAAGTCTGTTTTGAGGGTTCCGGGGAGAGTGAGCTCGCTTAGGAGTGATATGGGAAGAACCTATTTTTGGGAACATGGAAATTCTTCTCAGGACCTGAGAGAAAGCTCTATGATTTTGCTAATGCGGCAACCATACACCCCACTCCCCTCCTCCTCCCCTCTACGCACTTTGGAGTTTTGGGGGCAGAAATTTCGGAGTGTGTTGAGATGAAGTATTTTTAACGACACCATCGATGCCATCGAGGAATTCTGGGATGCCCTCAATTTCAGGAAAAACTTCCAAAGCGGGCATAAAACCCGCTCATGGTCCAGAACCCCACTATGTGCCTTGAACTGTAACTCACTCAAGCGAAAAGTTGTATCAAGAATAGTTACCAGTCCTAGAAGTTATTGCAAAACCCAAACAGACTTCAGTTCTTCATTACTGTCGCATATGTGTGTGGGTCAGAGTTGTTTTATAGTAATGATTGGATCTGAGCCATCATCGGCAAAACAAAAACATGAAATTGAAGCATTCCTAAAACTGTGGATTCGAAGATGTGAGCAGTTCTGAGGGTTTCAAATAATGTATAAAAATATTTCGAATAAGTGCGGCACAGCACTAAATGGTCCCTGAAATAGTCCCACCATAGCCAAATATGACCTGCCTGCGCCTGTGGTAAGGTTGGTCTGCAGCTGAACCTAACGAAGACGATGTTTATGAGAAACGGATTGGTTCCTGATGCCCCATTCACGCTCAACGGAACGAACATCACCGAATGCTCCAGCTACGTGTACCTAGGTCGGGAAATCAATATGATGAACGACCTAGCTCCAGAGCTGAGCAGGAGGAAACGAGCGGCATGGGGAGCGTTAAGAACATCGAGGGAGTAGTGAAGAAGACGAAGAACATCCGGCTCCGTGCCCACCTCTTCGATTCCGCTGTCCTTCCTGCCCTAACCTACGCCTCAGAGACTTGGACTCTGCGCAGGCAGGACGAGCATGCGGTCAGCGTTATCCAACGCGCTGTCGAGAGGACGATGCTAGGAGTAACCCTATACACGCAAGTGCAGAGGGGAATCCGGAGTGCCGAACTACGCCAACGATCGAAGATCAGGGACGCTGCCGTTTTCGCCAAGGAATCGAAGATAAGGTGGGCCGGACACGTCATGCGATTTTGCGATGACCGTTGGACCAGAGCGGTTACCGACTGGATCCCTCGGGACGTCAAACGAACACCTGGACGACCGCCGGCCCGATGGTCAGACTTCTTCACGAAAGCTCTGAACGAAAGGAATGATGGACTTCGTGTCCCTCGAGCAAGGAGGATCCACTGGACCACCCTAGCACGCGACAGGGACGAATGGAGACGTTGCTGGCGCCCGCTCGAGCAAATCGACGATCAACGGGACGACAGGTGATAGGTGACAGGTGCTTTCACGACTTCACTTTTTACGGATCACGCAAAACTCTCCATGTACGAACTCCTTTCAGCGCCCATAGGCTTTGCTTATTGCAGTGGCAATGCAGATACGATTGCTCGTGTCATACTGACTGTTCTTTAGATGTTACTCAAGCGTCGGACGCACTGGTGGCTCTCAAATGATTTCAATCGGCTATGGATGTGAAGATGTAAGTTGCAAACTGTAATCATCTAATTTGTAATAGAATTTGCGGACCGACTTTTAATGTTGATAATCTGGGCTGCTTCTCATGGTTTTTCTCCATATCACCCACTATCTTTACGTTGAGAGAATCATGGATTTCCATGTGGTCGTGAACTCCTTCTTGAGGCCTACAGGGTGGCCAAAAATAGGAACACTTCACTCCTTCAAATTTAAAACAACCGTGATCACACTCTGCTTGATTCAACCGAAGGCCTCCAACTGCAATTCAAAGAACACGTTCCAATCCGTCGATGAACTTCATGATGGCAATCCACATTGACGACACCAGAAGGATTTGCAATGGTAGCGTAATAACAGTGCGAGCTATCGTGAGTCCTCGACGGATAAAGGAGGCTTTGATTAGGTTTGAAAGCTGGTCCAACGGAATTTGCCGTTAAAGCGAGGGATTACGATAAGATTGGACTGGGTTCATAGTGGAAGTGGAGATGCTGAATAATGCCCCAGTGGCGAAAAAAGCAAAGAAATCCGTCAAGAACGCGCAAAATGGGACCCCTTTCTTTGCCCGTTGACCTCCGATAATGGACGAGCTAGCAACCAAATAAGAGGTCTTTTGCACATGTTAACCGATAGCCACCATCATACCAGCAAAGGCCATGCTTTGATTGGTAACGCGTTCCATGGGAAAGTTATAGGATACGCACTCAAAGCGGAATACCTCATCAAAATGATAATCGAAGGACGCTGCTGCTGGGGGCGGAGCACAGGCCGTGGCGGAGCTCAGAAAGGAATGGCAAGCCCAGTACGCTGCAACTAGCGCACCTTTGGCCACAAAAACGCAACATTTCGTTTCCTTGGGCCCCTGACTACTGCTTCCATGGTGCATGTACTTCCACGCTGCACACAATCTCGTAATCTCTCGCTTTAAAGTTTGCTCATGTTTGTCTCGAGCAAAGTGCCTCTTTTCTGACCACCCTTGTATGCATTGTTTTCCTATGTTTCTTTACTGCCGGTCCATTTTGTACTAAAATTTCATATTTGTGGAACCACACCGGTCCGATACGGGCACACCTTCAAGCAAAATCAATTTCAGAAGGGTATTGTTTGTCACGAAGTTGGACACTCCCTTGGATTCTGGCACGAGCAGTCACGACCGGATCGCGATCGCTATATATCGTTGAAGTTAGTCACTCACTTGCTTTAGTTTTCTCGATTGTGTATGAAACGTACGTTCTCTCGACACCACTAAGCTGCTAAAACAACATCGTTCGCCGAAATGTTCCTCAACTTCCGCAATCTTACAGTTTCGTTCTCAATCTTCCCCATTGAACTTTGTGGTTTCGTAGAAGCTCAAACTGAGGCGAAACCTATTCAAAAATTCTAAGAAACAAAACCAATGCGAAGTTTATTACTTCTCAGCAAGCAGTTCATAATCCGTGGCACCGATGGGAATTTCGAACGACGTACTACACAAGAGATCGAAGACATGGGTCTTCCCTATGACTTGGGCTCCATTATGCACTACGGGTCAAATGTAGGTACATACCTTTCATTATACAGTTTAAGTATTCTTTAAAATTCTCAAAAATCGGTGTTTGAGTAGTAATTAGTAGAATGGAAATTTCCTGAGTACAGGATGCTGTGGAGGGCTCCTTCAAGTTTCCCTACTAAAAACTCATTGACGAGGTCGAAAAGAAATCCCTAATAAGTGCATTAATGGGTACATCATAAATGTGGCCCCAAGTAGTTATGACACAGAGAGCGCCATCCGAAATGGATCCGTAGGCCTTTACCTTCAATCGGGAGGACGGGGCTAGCTGTGGTTGCTTCCGACACATTGATTGGCGTGTTATTGGTATATGATTGGCGTGCTACGGGCTGATGTTGGGCATACTTCCAGTGAGACCCAATGGTATCGTCAAGATCATCAGTACAGCGCCAGGCTCGCTTTTTCTTTCCTTTGGGCAGCTTCTTCATGCTGAACGGCCCAAACAATATTTTCAAGGTGCTTTTGTCACGGCAGTAACTCCTCGGGGATATCGCTGATGCCTCGGTTCCTATTTGACGGAGCTCATTTTTCATGAAAGATTGCCCACTAGAGATATATGGGTGAAATGGAATCGCCCAATTCCTCAAACATCTCAACGGCTCGATGGTAAATATCGTGACGATGGAGGGAGGATTAGATAAAAGTGATAGCTCTCTGCTACTCCTGTACTGAAATGAAGTTAATTACGAAAAAAAAATAATTCGTTCAGTAGATTCTATGTTCGGTCTTCTTGGAACCTGGGCATGTTGTATATTCCGTGTTGTTGTTGCTATGCCATACAGGTTGTTACGGTGGAATAGATTTATTCGGTCGACGTTTCGAACAATTCGTCGTCTTCAGGACCTGAAGTTGGTTCGTAGTTCATAGCTTGCAAGGTGCACCAGTGCACCGGGTTAATTGCAAGCTAAGAAACGAACCAACCTCAGGCCCTGAAGAAGACGAATTGTTCGAAACATCGACCGAATAAATCTATCCACCATAACAACCTGTATGGCAGAACAACAACAACACGGAATTCGGTTCAGTTATTTTGTAGATGGTAAATCGTTATTTTTAGCCAGAAGTTTCCAGGCATTCACAAAGGACTGGAATGAGATCACCATTCGAACTAACGACCCGAACTACCAGCGGACAATCGGTCAGCGTGGAGAACCTTCGTTTATTGACGTGAAACAACTCAATCGTTTGTACTGCAATGGTAAGAAAAGGTCGCCGTTAAAGGCAACGCCACCGCCTCGCTTCGTGCATTCGCGTTCGCTTTATCTCTTGCAGATATATGTCCCCCAATGGGCTGTCAGAATGGTGGTTATCCGGACCCGAACAACTGCAAAAGATGTAAGTGTCCTAGAGGGCTGGCCGGTAGAACATGTGAGGAAATCCCACAAGGTTAGTGTGTTTTCCTTTGTTTGCAGTTGGACTGATTCGTTTGCACTTTTTGAAAGCACGTGATCTTTTTAGTAGGTTGTGGCGGCGAATTGGTAGCCACTCCCATATGGCAGGAACTTGGTCATCGTGGAAAAAAGCGGTGTTTCTGGAGAATAAGAGTAAGTTTCGAACACTGTGGAGTTGGAAATGGTCGTTAATAACAGCCACGGTGGGTCAGGTCGGAAAATGTTCCCTTTTTATGATCCGGCTGAATACCGCGCATGATTCCGCAGCTTGCGTTATCGTCCCGCGCGTGGGTGTTCAAGTACAGCAGACTGAACTGGCGTTGCAACGGTCTATAGTCAAGCCGTGGCAATCTGGCTCCAGAGGGAGGGCCTATAGCAATGGTACATAAGTACTGTTGGTGAGGAGGCTTCGTCAACACGGTAAGTTGCGGAACATGAAAGGGAGATGTCAGCGACAGTGTTCGGAGCAAATAATAAGCAATGAACAGATCAAGGACATCGTGTAAATCTGGGGTTCCATATTCGCAAAAATAGCAACCTAATAACATTCGCGGCAGCTCTCCTCAATGCATGTTTCCTGAAACAAGAGTACACAGGAAACTTTTGCATTTAAAGCGTCCTCTCCAGAGCGATTAACCATATTCATCATTTTGCGATTCGAAACTGACTTCTCAAGTTTCCCTAGTTTCTCTTCGTAGACCGGGTGCCATTTGCTGGTTAGAGAATTTGGGGCAATGTTCCTCGGGGGGGGGGAGGTCACGGAACATCGCGTCAAGATCACGGAAACGCTCAGTTTCAGGACTAAGCTTTTGAAGAGGGGAGGAACTCCGGTGTGCGGAAGCAATTTTCGTATTCTCCGGAGTTCGTCCCTGCTGCCTAGGCTTAGTCCCAGAGGCCTTTCTACAGAGTCCCCCCAAGCCACATTGCGCCGAGAATTATTGTGCATACACCATAACATATGTAGAAGGATGTAAGGAAAAAACCCGCTGAGGAAAAAATCTCTAAGGAAAAACAATTCAGAGATCCCGAAAATCCAGACTTTGCGATGCAATGCTTGTCCATGCGCTGTTGCTGAAACTCTTCGAAAAGAGCGTCCCGTCTGCGTGAAAAACGGCGAACTATGATCTAACAAAAGGGATCGCGGTTAAATTCAGCAAGGTTGTGCGGCTTCGATTATTTTGCCGCGCGCGGCTGTGCACGTGTGCTCGAGCTCCACTGGTCTATGGATGGAATGCGATCAATGAGGAGACTTTTTGGGATGGAATGATTCACAACTTGCGAGCAGCTGTTGTTGACCAGTAAATATAGAATCCATGTTAGTGTGATGTGGTATTACATATTACAAGCTCTCATGGATTATATTTCCTTAAGAGGTTCCAACTCACCAAATCTGCGATGGAGTTGTTCTGAGGGCAATCAGTTAATACCTCAGCATTTCTACATGCACAGGTACACTGCTGGACCACACCTCTGTCTAATTCGTTACACAATTCCAAAATATATTTATAGATTCACAAGTTGCAGCTCACTCTGATTCCTGCTCTTCGATGCTATTGGGACGATGCAATTACAACTATTGGCATTCTCGCGTAGTTATCGATGACCTTCAATGTGGATTCTCCCACAAACATGTATATTGTAGCGTCCCTGTACTGGCGCTCACACAGCCAACGTCACAGGTGTAAATGATTAATGTTGACCTCAACCTGCTTGAAAGGGGCAGCGGATACAGCCCACTCACTCGTACTTATCCGCGCCTTGCTCACATTCATATGACCGACAAGGTCCCTCCGACCCAGTCAGACGAGTGTCGTAATGCAATTTTCGAGGGGGAGTCGTAGTTGTGGATGACTCCTTCACATGTGTTGGTGAGAGATCGTATCGAGACGTTAAGAAATTTGCAAACAATCAAACGTGACACTTGGCCCTTACTATGATACCAGTACGAAACGATTTTTCTAGTTGGCCCTGCCGTGGTCTGAGAAGCCAACATCTCCCACCTCAATCCTTTGACTTGGCATCGCAGAGCATCTTACTTCAACATGGTCTATGCACAATATAACCAGCAAATAGCACCCAGACTACGAAAAGAAACTAGGGATTCCCACAAGAGAGTGAAAGAACGTCCCCAAGGAAAGTGGCTCATACAGGACAGGAGCTGTACAGCATGAAAGCCCAGTCTCTGGAATAGCCTCTCACTTCAGTGGCTAACGATGTTCGTAAAGAGGGTTCGACCGTAGTATGAAGGAATTGCGCCTTGGCCGTTTCCATTCCTTGTCAGTGCAGTGCGTGGTTTAGCGTGGGTCGCTTGTATTCGCATTTACCGTAACCACTAAGCTGAATTCAGCACCTCAAGATGCACCAAGTTGGTTCATGGGTTCTAAGACCTGCAAGTGGAACTGGAGATCGTTTGCTCATGAAGTTTATAGTTTAGTAAAGCCATTGACTTCCTATTATTGTGATGGCTAGTTGAACTGAACCCACTGTCATCGTGCGGCGATGATTCGAACACAATGCAGCATTTCTCGGTGGAAGGAATATCCAACATTAGTGAATTTCGAGCCCTAGTAGCCCATGCGAGTTCTCGCTTTCATCTCCTTATTCTTCTTACAATTAAACTGCTGTCAGAGTCAACGATCCGTCGCGCTCGCAAGTGTCCCATTTGACCATTTGAAACACTAAATAAAATCATTTGAACAAATAGAATCATGAACAGTCGTCATTCACCATCACCATCAAGCAGAAATGGCGGCGGGATTGGAGAACATCTCGCAGTATTGGTCGGAACACCTGTGGTTTCTGTGATCGCGCCGCTTACGACACGACACGCACACGGTCCGGGGATCAAATCCAGGATCGCATGTCGTTCAGGCCTGGCCAGTCTTCCAGCTCTCCGGTGTTGACCTTTTGGTACCGGACTTGTTTGAGAAGATAAAAAAAAAGATTGACTTGTACATCGGGTAGCCTCTGATGTACGGGGCAATGTTTTTCATCAAAGTCTTTGTATTGGCCAACTCGC